GAGTTGGCTGGTAAAGGTGCTGGGGCAGGAGAAAGGTGCCCAGGTGGGGAAGAGCCTGCCCCAGTCGCGAGCCCTCACAGGCCTGTGTCGTCTGTGGGAAGACAGGACGGGGCACCTCGGGGGCAGCGTGTGGAGAAGGGCTCTGATGCCACTCAGCACAGAGGTGTGACAAAACAGCAGGAGCGGCAGCCTTATTTCTCTGGGCAAAGAGAAGTCAGGCTTCGGCCAACTGTGGCCCCACCTCTGCCGGTCAGCAGAGCAAGGCCTTCAAGCAAGTGACTTCAGGCTGACCAACATCAGGGCAAAGAGACAAAAGGGGCCCCAGTCCCACGACAGGGCAGGAGAGGGGAGATGACAGTGGCTGGCTGCTGAGCGTGGGGCTGGGACAGGCCTCTCCCCACTAACCGGGCTGGCTGTGCCCTTCCCATGCCCCAGGGAGGACACAGAAGACCACTGCCCAGCTGGGAAGAGGCCCGGCCCACACGTCCTGAGACAACGCTGCCCTCTTCTGGCCAGTGCTGGAAGGTTCAGCTCGCCCTCCACCAGCCACATCCTGCCTGCAGCTAGGCAACCCAGGCCTGGGCATCCTTAGTCTGATGTTCCAGAAGGTTCTGAGAGGGGCCACAGGGCACCCTACTCTAGGAACCACTCCCCCCGCCACCTGATCAGATGGTGGGAGAGGGAGGAGGCGGTAGGTGAGGAGGGGTGTCCCAGCTGTTTTCAAAATCAGAGCCCACTGGAAGCATACCCTGGACCTTCCCTGCCTCTGCACCCGGGAGCGAGCCTGCCCTGCAGGCCCAGGAGAGGCAAGGAGAGCTGTGAGGCTGGCCTCAGACCTGGAGTCCAGCAAAGAATGGGCCCAACTCTGGGGGCATAGCTTCCCAGTGGACTTAAACATGGGCGATGGCGCTCCCTGGTGGCCCAGGGGCAGCGCACCAGCCTCTGGGGACTCGTGCTCCCAAAGCCCAGGGTGGTTGTGGGAGGAGAGGGCTCGGCTGGGGGGGTGATCAGGGAGGTAAGTCCCGGCACATCTGTGCTCACAACCACGTGGTCTGGGCCGGTGTGGTAGGGAGGGGTCCTGTGGGGCTCCCCCTGGACGGGCCTCCAATGACCTTAGACACTGTTCGTTGGGTGAGCACGCGAAGCGCACTAATTAGCAAGGGCACCACACTTCTGCAACCCCGTTTTAGAAGGTCTGCCTTCTTGCCTTAAAAATGAAAACAAAAAGCAGCTAATGGCTTCTCTAGGACAGTGACCTGGTGATGGGGTGCATGGGAACCCCAAGGGACACAGTGGGAAAGGGCTCTGAGAGGCAACAGCAAAGCCCCAAGGGGCCCCACAGGAGACTGGTGGCTCTGAGCCAGCAGAGGGGGAGGGCCCCAGGGATCTGAAGCCACACCGAAGTCTGGTTCTTCACCCCGGGACCCGTGCAGAGCGAGTGGGAGTGTCCAGCCTGAGAGAAACGGGAAGGGGCCCGAGGAGCTGGTGTGGTGTGAGGAGTGGCCTTCGAAATGCTCTTCTCAGCCCCGGGGGGTAAGTCTGATGTGGAGTGAGAACCAGCCTGTCTCACTCACAGGCCCCAATTACACGGCGATGACCGAGGCTGACAGTGGCACAGCCCCGCTCCCGGGAAGCTCCTGGTATTGGAAGGACACAGGCGTGGAGGTGGGCCTGGCCAGCCTCACACTCCACCTGGCACACACCCAGAGGCAGACAGTTTTGGGGCTGAAAACACAGAAGAGGCAGGCCACGTGACTCGGGAGCCCCCTGTGGATAAACCAGGCCCGCTCTCGCTCTGCTGGCGGCTCTCACCTCCAGTCTCTGTCATGGAACCAGCTGCCGGAAGCTGGGCCTTGGGGCCCGGAGCACAGGTCGGGGGTGGTGGGGCGGGGGTCCTGCCTGCTGGCTCGGGCAATGGCCACTACACTGCAGCTCTTCCCTACCAACGGCCATGCTGTGCCAGGCTCCACGCTCAGCACCTGGCACTTACTGTCGCTGAACCCTCCCAGGGTGAGAGGCTGTATTACCCACAGTGACTGACGGAGAAACAGAGGCTCGGGGACTTGAACTGGGGACCCTCTGTGCTCATTACACAGCCCCGTCCCCTCAGGCTCCTTATGTGTGGTGGGGCACGTCTGGGACTGTGGGGAGAGGGATGCAAAAGGCACCCACTCCCCACCTTCTCCAGTACTGACTGCCCTGGACCAGCTCCGGCCCCCAAACAGCCCCATCACTAAATGTGAAAATATCTCTGGGGCATTTTCACCTGACATCAAGGGACAGAGACCCAGAGTGTACCACTCTGACGGGCGCCTAGAAAACAGTCCCTGCTCTGGGACACACACGGCTTCAGGAAGAATTCTGCAGTATGCTCCTATTTTGGTTTCATACCTTACAATAAAGTATCATGGTTTTATGCTGGGATAACAGAGTGATTTATTATTTACCGAACTCAGCAGGCGCTTGGCAGATCAATTTCAATAAAACAATGGATTATAAACGCCGCCAGCAATCTGGCAGTAGCAGTAATCAACAAAACATGTTGTTCTAAATGCTGCATAATAAATTGACTATAATAAACTCATAATTATTCTACTGGCTACATTTCAAAGTTAGCACTAGAAGAATAAAATCCTCCATTTGGGCTCGGCATTAACATCAGCAGGGTCCTTGGATCAGTTGTCTGAAGCTGCAACTGGAGATGCAGGTGCGGCGCCGCCAGGAGGCCGCGGCCACAGCCGCTGGGCGTGTGGGCGCCTGAGGCCCGCTGCGCCCAGTCAGCCGTGCCCGCCGGTCAGGGGTCACCCCAGGAACACAGCGGGGACCGGCCTCTCGCGGGGCGAGGACGCTCTTTGGGGCAGATAAAGAGGAGAGTGGAGAAGCTGCCACTTCCTCTGGGGTGTGCCGAGCTCAGAGGAGAAACACTCATGGCCATATGGCCCCCGTGGCAGGGCCTTCTAGCTGGCCACAGCTGCCCCTGGAAAGCAGGGACCCGCTGGTGTGGCTGGGTCTCCGCCTCTGCCTGGGCACTGGGTTCCCATGTCCTGTCCCCCTGGCCCAGCCCGAATGGGCCAGAGTCAAGGGGCATTAGGAAAGGTTACAGGAGTCCAGAGTCCCTGAAGAGGCCACGTGGACTCTCCTTGGGGCCACCAGTGGCTCTAACACGGCCCAGAGAGCAGGGCCCTCCCCTCTCTTTCCTTAGGCTCCAGCTGAGCCAAGTCTGAGGCAGCCAGGCCCCACCCCAGATCCCTCAGCTCTGCACCTGGACCTGGTACCCTCCCGGGTCCCAGTGACCTCGCCCGCACATGGTGAGGGGAAGATGAGACACCCACCTTGTGGGGTCAGGGGGAGAAAATCCACGTAAACAGACGGCCCTGTGCCAGGCACAGGGGAGTGCTCTGTCAAGGTGGCTGCATGCCCTTGGCCCCCAGGCCAGGAAGGATGTTAGACACTCTGGGAGGGTCACAGTAAGCGGCAGTGCTGCTGGCCCGCCTCTGTGGCCACTGCAGGCATGCCCCTCTGCATGCTCCCATCCCTGCCCAGGCCCCCGGGGAGAGGGCACCTCAGCCAGCACTTGTGTCCCTGACACATCCCTTCTGCCGCCATGTGCAGTCCTGAGAGGCGTGTGCTCTCTCCACTCCCAGACGAGTACACTGAGGCTGAGAGAGGCAACTAAGCCGCTTGGTGTCCTCCCAGAAGGCTGGGCTGGGCTCCTGCCAGCTACCGGCCCCGGGTGAGTGGACAGACTGCAGCCGGTCCTCGTGCTTGGGGTGCCCTGTGGCAGGGGACCCTGGGGTTGGGTGGGTTCCAAAACACTTGGCAGCGACGGCTCAGAACACGGCATCGCTCAGCTCACACCCCCCGTGGATGCAGGCCAGTGACCCTGGGTGCAGGCGCTCCTCACACGCTGCTGCGGGGCTAGGTTACACCCGCGGGATGCCAGGTCCTGGCTGTGTGCAGGCATCACTGGAACTCCAGCTCGGGGACTGACCCCAGCAGGGCACATGGGCGACCCGAGAGGAAGCCGACACTGCCCAGAAGCAGGTGGGAGCCTTGCTCAGGTGCCTCGGCAACAGGAGGGAAAGGCACCAAAGAGCCGGGGGACAGTGAGCACACCACACACCCCACCCTGTCTGGGGGTCCACGACCACAGCAGATGTCTGGAGGCCAAGTCAGGGCGGCCCTGTGGGCTCTCGGTAGCCCTGCGGCAGCCTGCACTGGCCCCACCTGAGGTCCGGGTGGTGGAGAGGACAGGTGAGGAGGGGCTGGTCCAGGTCAGTGACACATACAGAGCCTTCCCAAGGAGCGGAGCTGTGGCCCAGCAAGGCAGGGCCTGTGCCTAGTGTGAGCCCTACACACCGGGCTCCGTGAGCAGGGTCCCTTCAACAGAGGCAAGTCCATGGAGGGTCAGAAGCACAGGTCTTGCCCACGTCTGCTCCATCACGGCTCCCTGAGGAGCTGGGAGCACATGAAACCGTTCTCAGAAAAGCCCAGCATACAGCCTTGGGGGTCAAGCCCCACCCCGACCCCCTGAACTAACAGTCGCTTATGGCAAGGGTCCTGCGGCTGAGGCTAGCAGGTTTCAGAGAGTGAGAGGCCCCCCGAGGCCTTCCCCACTCTAGACTGGGTGCCCGGCCCCTGCACTGAGACCGAGCTGTGGGCGTGATGGGCGCTGAGTGCAGAAGACACCCTGGGCAGGGGCTGGGGGACAAGCCTCCCGTCCCATGGCCCCATAAGGACACCCCTCAACCCCACAGAACAAGGTCCTCCGCCCCCTCTCTCAGTGCTTCCATAGCCCCGGAGAGGAGGCACTGGGAAGGCTGGCAGCCTTGGCAGAGAAGTCTGGACCCAGAGCAGGACGGGGGTCGCACTGTGGTCAGCCCTCTTAGGATGGGACCAAGAGGCCCCGGTCAGTCCCTCTTGAGGTTGAGCCCCACCGTGACCCCACTGTTCACACACACGGCCGGGGCAGGAGCAGCTCGGGGGCTGGCCTCACTCACCACATGTCTCCGTCCTGGATGGTCCGGTCATTGGGGGCCCCGGCGTGTCCGTAGTGCAGCACGGCCGAGTTCTCACCACTGCAGAGAGTCAGGGGGAGGTCAACGGCTCATCCTCATCCAGCAGGCCCCAGGGGCTGGCGTCCCAATCCCCCTCCCACAGGCAGTACCATCCGCCCTGCCACAGAGGTCCCGGGGCAGCTGGACCAGGCCTGCAGCTGGAGGCGGGGGCAGGGAGCATGGTGGCCCTGGCACCCCGCGGCCACACAGCTGGTGGGCAGCCTCTCGGCTCCCAGAGGCACGGCCTACAGAGCTTCCCTGGCTGAGTGCTACTCAGGCAGGTGCCCTCGGGGCTGGGGATGTGGGCAGGAGGTGCAAAGAACAGAAATAGGGAGCAAGGGAGTCCGAGGAAGCCCTCCTGTCCTGGCAGCTAAAGGAGAGGAGAGGCCTACTGGGAAGGGCCTGGGCTGTGGCAGGGACCACTGTGCAGGCCTGCCGGGGTGGAGACAGGGCACCAGCGGCTCCTCGCCCCTCTGCTCGAGCAAGCTTCCCTAATGAGCGAAGCCTTTAAGAAAAAAAGGACTTTTAAGTCTGTCCAAAGGAAAAAAAAAACCAACTGGGTGTAATATTTATGGCCCCGTTCGGGAGTCTCAGGAATCATAAAAGTAGAAATAATGATTTTTCTCTCCATCTACCAGAGAAGAACATTTCCAAGGACTGAGATGTTCACATGTATTATTCATATGTGTCAAGGACGTGCACATCAGCACAGCTGCCGGCTCCATCCTGGCTGAGCAGGGGCCAGACCCTCTGACCCGAGGGGCACAGTGTGGAGAGACTAGCTGGGGTGAGCCCAGGGGACAAGGGGGCCACCCACAGCCAGGACATGCCTCTCAAAGACATACCTACAGTGACACATGCAGCCACACAGACATGCACACAGCTGTGCACACCCCTGCAGACCACAGCAGTGCACACTCATGGCCACGAGCTGCCCCTATATTCACAGTCATTTGTACCCTCTGCACAAGCATACCCAGCCACGTGCAGGTGACACACACACAGAGCTCCCCTGCCCCCAGCCACAATGTGCCACACACAGACAAGCCTACAGTGACACCCCACCACCACAGAACCCCAACCCACTCACAGCTGTGATGTTCCCTGCACAGCCAGAGCACCACACACACACCCACACACGGACACACAGCCACGGCCTCCTGCCCTGACACAGCTCCTTCCACTCCCGCTGCACACAGACGCGGTCACAGCCTGAGGTCACAGCCTGGTCCCCACGGGGTGTGTGCCCGAGTGGAAGGGGTGAGGAAAGCCAGCAGTGGCTGGAGGAGCAGCCACCGGGAGGCAGGAAGGGAGGCAGGGCAGTGGGCAGGCCGGCTCCCTCCTTTGCCCAGCACAGCGAGGGACAGGCAGCAGCGACCTCAGCTCCTGGAGCCTTAGGAGGGAAGATGGACTTCCAGGCTCAGGAGGGCACTAGCGTGGGTGTGGGAGCGAGCAGCTGCGTCTAAGCCAGGGGACAGTGGGGCCCTGTCACCTTCCCGCAACCTCCTGCCACGATCATCCGGGCATGGCCCAGGACGCCCACTTACCTGCCGCAGATGCAGGTGTAGGAGCTGTGGCGCATGCCGCCCCGGGAGTAGCAGTAGTGCTCAAAGAGGCTGCAGGGGAAGGAGGCGCGTCAGGGAGGCTCACCCGAGCCCGCATGCCCCCAGCCCTAGTGCAACTCCTCAGCCCAGGCCTTGCTCGGTGGCGTCCCCAGGAAGGCCTTCCCTATGTGGGAAGGCTCCCACGTAGCTCCCCAACATGGGTCTGGGCAGCTTGTAGCCTGGAGCCCAGGGTCAGCCACAGGAGCACAGAAGTCAGTGTGGAGAGGGAGCAGGGCCACCTCCAATGCTGTGGCACTGCCTAGCCTCCCAGGCCCGTCAGGAGGACAGCCCTGGCCCTGTGGGAAGACAGGGTGGGGCAGGGGCCACAGTTTCTGCAGGGCTGGAGGGGTGTCTCCCTGTGATTCCTGTGTCCAGTGGCCACAACCACCCTAGGAGGGGCTGGACACACAGCCAGGGACGCACATAAGAGCTCTCCCGCCCCCACGCTGGACTCACCCAGGGCTCTGGGCCTGACCCCGAGGAGGAGCGCAGTGAAGGGAGAGCAGAAGCTGCTGGGCACTGGCCTGGAGGACGGGGGCGACGGGCTGCAGCTGGAGAAGGTGGACCCTGGCCCTGCCCACCTGCCACCAGGGCAGCGGAAACAACCACAGGGCTGTGTCACTGCCCCCGTCCTCAGAACACCAAGGCTGCCACGGGCACGCTAAGTGGCGATCCCACCGTGCACGTTCTCGGCCTGTTTCAGAGAATGTCTGCATGGAAGAGTCTAATCTTCCAGGCATTGTAAACACAAATTATGTATAATTGTTATGATTGGGTATTAAGTTGTTGTTATGCAGGAACGGTTCTGCTATATTCACTTGGCTTCCAGACTTGCCTTACAAACCTCACAGGATAATTAGGCATCTGCAAGTGAAATATTTCCTCAACCTAAAGTATTTCAAGACCTGCAAGGGAGGGAGGAGAGCCATGCACTCCCCTCTCAGCCGCCCGTATTCACGGCAGGAGCACTTGAAGCTGCCATCATCGTCCACCTCAGTCCCAGAGGCCACACGGACGGCAAGACCAAGGCACGGCCCGAGGGTGCCACAGGCCCCTTGCACCGAGCGCGGCAGGCAGCCTCCGACAGCGGCTCCGCACGGCCTCTGCTCCCTACCCAGACACTGGGCCTGCCACCGCCCTCCGCACGGCGAGTCACGGTGAGTGGAAGATGCCGACGTGCCAAGGAGCCGAGTGCTCCCTGAGCTTGAGAGATACGGTGTGACCCAGACAGAAGCGGGCCTCAAGGAGCAGCAGAGGTGATGGGGACAGCGGGCCTCTGCTGGGGCAGGGGAAGGGTAGACGACTGCAGGCGTACGGGAACGGCCAGCTTCAGAAAGGACAGGCAGAGGGACGGCCATGCCGCCTGCATGCATGGATGAACAAATGAGAACCTTCCACAGCAGCCTAGGAACCGGGGTGGGTGGTTCCCTGCCTCAGCCAGTCTCAGCAGTGTCAATCTACTCAGGAGAAACGCCTTCGCTGCACGCCCTGGCTTCGTCTAAGGAAAAAGGACTTTAGAGTAAAAGGCCCAGCTCACAGCAGCACTGAACTAGAGAATGGCTGACTCCGCTGTCACCTGCACACTGTGGCCCGGCCCAGGGTGGTTGTGCCAGCCGCACGGACAACACCACGCGTGCAGAGGGGAAAGGGGAAAGAGGAGGGGAAGCGGCATCCACTGGAGACGCACCCCAGCCTAGAAGGAGTTGAAGTTCCTCAGGCTGGACTTCTGCATCTAATTTTGTTCTAAATTAACTTTTCTGACATGACGTGAGGACAAACTGGTGCTCTGGTGGCAGTAACAGGTGGACACGATGGGCCCCCGGTTTCAGCTCACATGCCTCAGGGGATCCCCCCTCCCGGGACCTCAGACCTGGGCTATGGACACACAGAGGCACCCAAGTTCTGGGGCAAGTGCGGCAGCTCAGGGACCACGGAAGACGCCAGTCCCACATACTCTGATTTTCAAGGGGTCGGGGGTGAGGAGGAAATGTTCCAAACTGGGGCCACGTGCTGGACGTGAGGATCCCCTATAGCTCGGAGGGTCAGAGCTTGGCCAGCTCAGCCCACGAGGACAGACCGCAGCAGCAGAGCCACCCGGTTCCCAGGGGACAGCTCACAGACCAAAGTGGCAACAGAAGGACACCTAACAAAGACCCCTCCAGACCTTCACGAACATAGGGCACAGTGAGCCAGAGGAGGGTGCAGCTGACTCCTACCCAGAGGGGCCTAACCACTGACTGACACGGCCTGCAGCCAAATCTGGCTGTAAGCTACCCACCAGCCCCTCTGGAGCCACAACGAGACGATGGCAGAGTATGTAGCTGGAAACCCTCCCCACTCCAAGACTGAGAGCCAAGTTCGCAGGATGGGAGGGAAAGCGAGGCCAGAAAGAAGAGGGAGCTGTCAGTCTTGGGAACCTGGAGGCCTCGGCTTTCAGTGCCATGTGGGGACAGTGACGAGGTCTCAGGCACACGAGAAACAGGGGACTATACCTGAGGCCCTGGTCCACATACAGCTGGGGCCTGGGCAGGGACGCACCCCCAGTGGAAGGGTAACTTGAAGAAAATTCACCAGCATCAAAGGGGGCAATCAGGAAGCTGGCCTGGGCTCTGGGAAAAAATAAAGAACATTCCTCAGAATTCATAGCACAGGTCTGTCCTCCACAGGGAACAGGTTTGGTTGTGAACTATCTGCATGGTCTGCAAACCCGCAAGCCAGGAAATTAACAAAAAACTTCTCCCTGACTGGTGACACCTGGAGGACCAGCAGGAGCAGACACAAACCAAACTGGGTGGCCACACCCTCAACCCAGGCCAGCAGGGATCTGTGTACATGTGCACATATGTACACACGTATATACACATATATGTACACACATACAGATGTATATACACACGCCACACGCATCGAAGATGAACTCACAGTCAAAGATAGTCCAAAGAGCTGTCAGACACAGGAAGCAGCAGGCTGAGACCCCTAAGGACTTCTGATAACAGAATCCTCAGATAGAGACATTAACACCTAGAAGTACAGTATGAAAACAGAGCAGGCAGATTTTATGAAGAACCAAAACAAAACTTCTAGAAGTGACCGTCTACCCAGGAGAGGACAGCAGACAGGAGGACAGGCAGCAGTGTCGGTGGCCCCAGAGGCCATCCCCGCCTGCTCTCAGGTCCTGTGACTCCCACGTGCAGCCAGGGGTCCTGCTGGCCCTAACTGCCCTGCTCCCTCCTGCTTGCCTGGACGGAGGATTGGGGGGGAGTACCCCGACTAGGCACATGGCCAGCTGCATCGCCTCCCTTCGTAACAGGAGAGGCTTCCTGATGAGCAGAGGGAAGGGCAGGGCCATCCCTGCCACCAGCCTTGCAGACACCCTGCCGCCCTGCGGTCCCTGAAGCTCTCCCCCACACAGCCATTCCTCTAACACCCTCACCTATAAATTTCTCCCAAGCAAGACAGGGGAAGAAAATGCTTTGTATCCAGGCGTAAATGAGAACGTTTAAGTAACCTGGGAGAGTCTGTGCTGTGAATAACGAGGTGGATGGAGTTACTGCGGCGACAGAGGGGCTGGCCCATTTGTCAGTGCCTAGAGATGACTAATGGGGCAGGGACAGCAGATTCCGAGGCCCAGATCTGCAGGAACCGCGTCTCCAGGGACAGCACTGCTGGGCCTCCTCTAGGGCCCGAAAATCCAGCTCATGGAGCCTTCCTGGGCACACGGCCCAGCTCCTGCCCTCTGAAGTTTGTCATCTGATGAGCAGATAGCCACAGCCCTACAAAATGCATTAGCTGCCCAAGATAGCAGAAGGGCTGCCCCGGGCAGCAAGTGTCGCCGAGCTATCAGCGCAAGTGTGAGCACCGGCAGATGGGGCCAGCCAGGGAGCACAGCAGGGCTGTGGGCAGCATGGGCCACCTCATCCCCCTGCCAGGCTGGGCCTCGATGTACGCCCAGGAGGCCGAGCCAGGAACAAGAGCGTGGAAGGGAAGACGGACAGGGTAGTGGAGGCCACTAGGCTGAGCAGAGGTAGGAGAGTGGGCAGATAGGACACACGATTATGAAGGTGAGCAGGGCCGAGGTGTTCCAAGCTAAACGCAGGGCCTTCTTCGGCCAGGGCAGCAGCCCAGAGACCCCATTACTGCAGCTTCGGGCAAGTGCCTCATGACTGCCCCCCACTCCCTCGGACCTGTGGGTTCCCCAACCTGCCCCTGTCCTGCAGTCCTTGCCCCGGGCCCCACTCAACCCTGAGGGCTAAGCCAAATCCCAGCTCTGCCACTTCCCAGCTCTATGGCCTCCCTCTGCGTCAGTTTTCTCATCCATAAAATGGGATGACAATAGTACCTCCCACAGGGCTGTTGTGCCACTTAAGTGACTTAACACATATGAAGTGCATGGAACGGTGCTTGGCACACACTGAGCACGACGTACTAGACACGTTAGCCACCACCATTGTTGTCGTTCAGAGGCCTCGAAGGGAGTGCACACAGCAGGGACCGCTCTCTGCAGGCTCAGGAAAGGATGCCGGCCTTGGACAAAAGGCCTCTTGGCTACTCCTTTAAAACCAAACGGAACCCACGCAGATCCACGGCATTTCCAGCGCGGCCAGGTTCTCCATGGGTGTCCTCTAGCCCCACACGCACGCCAACACATACGCAGCATCTCCAGAACAAACGTGCACACATGGGTCTTCCCTCGACACAGGGTGTCTCGGCCCATGGTCCCTGCCTCTGCCCCACTCACAGGCGGACCCAGGAGTCTCGCCTCCTCGGGGAGTCCCAGGGCCTCAGCAGCGTGTAAGAAGAGGGAGTGCAAAGTGTCTCGCGATGTTTGGGGCCAAATGACTGTGTTCTGTGCAGCTGTCGCAGCACCAGGTTACTTTTAATTCACATGCATTCTACTTAATTAATTACTACTTTATTTTCTGCGTAAAAATGACCATAATTATGTAATCAATGTGAGATGCCTTTTGAAGCTCTCCCTACCTACTAAAGGAAAATTCTTGATAGTAAGAAAA